CCGGGAAATCACCGCGCGCCCGGGGGCCACCTCGCACGGCTGGTTGCTGGGCGCGCCTCCGCGCCGGAAACCGCGGCCGGGCGAGGTCATTGCTGGGCCGCCAGCCGGGCCGGGGCGTGGCCGATCAATCATGCGCTCCCACCGCGCCGTGGCCGGCCGGGCACATGCGTTCGCCGGGGCTACTACTCGGCGCGGCAGGCAGCTTTTGGAGGCCACCACCACGTCGCGCTCGACCAGTACGTGCCCACTCTGCTCAGTGCCCAGCACCGACCACTGCAGCCACTGCGGCTTTGGAAGAAAGGAAGAAGGGGGGGATCACTCTAGCTAGAGGTGCACGGCGCGAATAATTGGGAGATGACGGGCGCGTGCAACATGGTGCGCCCTTCATTCAATTCCTTGGTGGGAATCTTGCAATGGAAGCGTGCAATAGTGCAACCTGGGGATCTCATGTTGTAGTGCACGGATCGACATCATCACGCAGCATGCTGCATGCAGGAGTGGTCTACTATCAGTCTATGGACTGGAGATGTCGTCTAGATTGCTCTATACACACAGCGACGCAGAGTTTCGAATTAGTCGGAGGAGACGCGGATTCAACACGAGCGCCACTCTCTGCTTTTGGCCCTCCCACTACCGCGCGTCGTGCCAGGCTCTCAGGCAGGTGCGTACACTTGCTTTTTGTTGCGTCTGCCTCTCTGTAGCCATCAACAGTGTCCCGCGGGCATCCATCATGCACGTAACACTAACACGCATGGGCCTTTTTACCTAAGAGATGCCGCCAGCGGTGAGGCTCGTCGATCAGTACTAGCGACTTTTTTGACTGCTGGTCTAAGCTCGGAATAATGCTGTTTGCCCCGGACATGCATGGCATATTGACTATTATTATTGAGTTCGCAAAGCGTGCAGCTGGTAGGAGAGGACGACGACGCGGTGCCTGTACCACGCACGTACTAAACGTATCCATCGGTTGATTGGCGACATACGTACGAACGAACGTGTTCCAGGAGACAGCATAGTACTGTACCATACCAATTTCCCGTGACAGCTAGCGTAGACTAGCTGGAATATACACAGTACATCTGTACATGCCGTACCACGTACTGGCAGGACTCCACTAGACACGACCATCACACGATGGACACGGGCGCAGCAAGGAGGCAGACAGGGCTACCGACTCGCAACACCGATTAAACAAAAAGGCAAGCGGACGTACCCGCGGCGCCCCGGACCAAGAAGACCAGGGCACGCACGCACGCACGCACACACACACATACGTACACGACGCACACAGGCGCATGCATGCGGCACAGCCAAGCCAAGTCAAGCCAAGCCAAGCCAGCATTAACGCGCGTGCACGGGGACCCGCGCCAGCAGCATCGGCCATCGAAAAGCCGCGCGTAACTTTTTGCGAGGAACACGCCGCGTTAGGCGCTGACCCGGGCGCTAACCAACGCGGATCAAAATTCCCTTGCCCGGCCGCCTGCCCATTTGTTTAGCCGCCTCGAGAAGTTCCTCGCGCTTGTTGGCATCTCCGCGGCCGCGCGTGCCGCGGCGCTACGGCTGAGCGCGGCGCGCGCCCGGCGGTCGGGATCGACGTACCGGCGCCGCGGGCCGCGGGCTGAGCGCGCGCCTTAATTTTCCTTTGTTCCGCGAGGCCAGGACGACTCCTTGTTCTCATCCGCTGTTGCTTTCCGGCCTGGGGGGCTCATTTCATTGGGCGATTATGTGAAGACGACGACGAGATCGGAATGTAGGAGCCGTACTTTTGCCCCCCTAGCTAGCTCTCTTTGTTTATGCTGGCTCTCCTGGGCGATCGATCGGCCGTAGTATAGTATCGACCGGCCGGGCCTTGCGCTCATCACGTGACCGCCACACGTGCGTGCTGATTCGATCGGCCTGCTAGCTTCTGTGGATTGTATTGCTTGCCCGTGTCGGCTATGATTGATATCCTCAGGTACGTTTTTTTTTTTTTTTGCGAATACATCTTCAGGTACGTTGGAAGATAGTAGATTCATGCAGCAATTATCGGGTTGTGTTCAGATTCGTTCTCAACAAATGCCCTATTCGCTTGGCTGATAAGTCATGGCTGAAAGTACTGTTGGCTGATTTATTGAGAGAAAAATACTGTTCGTTGGCTGAAAAAGTACGACTTATAAGCCAAGCGAACAGGACGAAATGTTGCAGATGCATGCATGTTACACAGTTCATTCCACCAGTAATCAAAACCATCGAATCATCACTGTGCATTCCCCATCTAATCCGAGAACTATTTGCAAACGCTGCGCAACAGATTTTGTGTAGTAGCGAAAGTTAGAGCGACTTACATTTGGAACGGAACAAGTAACATGTAGTGAAAAAAGTAGCAGTCGATGTCAAAACAATAAGTTATCATGAAAGAAGAAAAGTCAAAACAAGATCTAAGCTAGGGTTATTTGGTTGGATGTCTCATAATTAAGCACCACCTAGGCATCAATCCTATCCCCAGATGTTCAAAATCAAACACTTGGGGGATGCTCCATGTGAGAGGCAAGGTTGTCCGGTGAGCAACAAAATAGACCCTAACAATTTTACAAGAACAACAACTTAGTTATTGTAGTAATTATGTGGCCAAATCACTCCCTCTGATCATAATAAGTTTGGTTATGTTTTGGATAGAAGACGTCATCTAATTATGACGGAAGAAAGTACCAAGATTGGGCTTCTTGTTTTTCTTTTTATTTTGTGAAATGCATGGATAGTATTTGGCGAGAAAAATCTAGGATATTGTTTTGAGTCACAAAAGAATCTACTGGAAGTCACAAACCACCCTATGCTACTCTTTTATTGATAACCCACCTAAGCGATGTGGAGGACAAATGCCCCATATAGCCAATCCTAATAGGCGGGTGCGCCATATACCCATTAACATCTCTAGTCGTGTTAGGAAGTCATTACTTATGAAAAACATAAAAGCCTGTCACTTCTAAAAGGGCATCTCTGGAACTTTTCTCGGAAGATGAAAACATCGGACAGGAAAAATGTAGCGATATACAAGGTGCGCAAATGTAACCTTGATGGAGTTCAATCTAAAATAACCTAACATAGAAAATATAATGAATAAGTGACATAATTTGTAACAATGGAACGATTAAAGTGAAGAGGTGTGCAGGTCGTGAAACATCCCAAATGCCAACTCTTTAGAACGTGCCATCGATCAAGTACCCAAGACACATTCCCGCAACCGTGTGCATCTCGTTGAATGTTACTTAGATGGTTACACGTATAATATAGGACCAAAATTGATAAAAGTGGTGTTTTTTAGTCCCACGGTCCTGCTTTTTTCTGACATGTGATGCTACTTGAACTCTGCTAACTACACCCTCCTTGATATGTACCTAGAAAAAGCTAGAACGAGAGGAAGTAGTAAGGTAGTAGGCCGTTTGCAAGCTTATGGAACGACCTAGCATGAAAACATATTACGTCTTCTCGCAGGGATTTTTTTTAGATGCGGAGATAGTACGCATTCTAAACAACACATTTGTTTTGATTAGTTGATGATTGATTGCAGCACCAAATAATCTGTTTTTAGCCTTCCACGTAAAGGTGTTCACTTTATTAGCATCTACTACATGATATTAATTTTACCAGATTTTTAATGAAATATGTGTTGATAGTGTGTTTGTTTGAAGTTGTTGATGTTAATATTTTTGAAAAAGTTTGATCAAAACTAGAAAAAAAATGACAGAATAAAATTGAAGTGAGTTAAATTTGAAATATAGGGAGAGTACAAAGTACAGAGTACAGACAGTTGTTTTCCGGTTATTTTCCAGGAAAAAGACCCATTCTTTCCCGATTTCTAGTCAACAGATAGAGTATAAATAAAGTAATTTATCCACCTGAAACATCATGACACGAGAGACGAACTACGTTTTGAACATTCAGACCATGCCCACCCACATACCGCTACAGTACGTACGTTCACTTGTCAGATTGCACATGCAGATCAGGAAGAGTACCTGTAGCCTTCAAGCACCAGTACCTTCAGTTTATACACCCTGCCCTGCAAAGTTTACATACGTAGGTCCCGTTTGCTTTGCTGAAAAAACAAATCGAAACACGGTTCTGACTGATTTGTTGTGAGAGAAAAATACTGTTTCAGCTAAAAAAAATAAGCTAAAAACGATGGATTATAAGAGAATCGACCAGGACCGTACACCCTGGTTTAAGCAGCATTCCCAAGGGACCAAATCATACACCACTCATGACTTAATCACTACATCTTCTTTTGCCCCTCGTCACTACGCCCCAGGCTCCAAGCCCCTCCTTCACCCCCACCCCCTTTTCAGTTGCCACTTTGCTCAAATCCACCATCCGCACTCCTCTCTTTCTCTTTCTCAGTGACTGTACCACTGTCCTGACTTTGCCTTCTCCTTTCCTTTCTGGCTTTCTCTCTCTACTATCTTCTTTCCTCTTCTTTGATCACCAGCCGGACCACCGCTGAGATAACTCATCTCCCGATCCTCCCCTCCATGAACTCCGCTTGATTCGACAAGTATACGACCACTAGATCGATCACAACAGGTAGCGGATTGCTAGCTAGGAACTTGGCGTCCGTGCTCCATTTGATCGTGGAACAACACACCTGCAACGCCGTGACTTTCCATTTGCTTGATCTCCCAATGCTGCAAAGGAACCTACCGAATCTCTCCCTCCAGATAAGCTCGCCAGCCGCCTCGTCGGCCGCTGCATCTGACGCACCGGCGGTGGCGAAGCCTCCGCCGACAGAACCAATAAGCACGGCGACGTACGCTGAAGGAAGCGGCGAGGTAGGGTTCTTTGCAAACCCTAGCCCCGGCGCGGAGCCCCCGGGCCTCAGCCTGGGGCTCGCCACGCCGGCGCGTGGCGACGACGCGGCCGGACGGCGAGGCCACCACCTCCAGCCGCAGGGATGCGCGTTCAAGCGCGCGGCCGCCTGGGCTTCCCTGCCCGCCGGATCGAAGCGAAGCGCCCGGGCGCCGCGGATGCGCTGGACCACCGCGCTCCACGCGCGCTTCGTGCACGCCGTCGAGCTCCTCGGCGGCCATGAGAGTAAGCGTATATATAAACACTCGGCATGATCCGATATGCTTGCATTCCCCCTTCTGCATAAGCTTATATATTATTTGTGCTCAATTCTCTGACGATCCGTCCTTGTGGCGGCCGCCCGTCGCTGACTCTGCCGGCAGGAGCGACGCCGAAGTCGGTGCTGGAGCTGATGAACGTGAAAGATCTAACGCTCGCGCATGTGAAGAGCCACCTTCAGGTACCTGCAGAAGAAAACATTAAGAAAAAAATGAACGCGATACATCATATTCATATAATTTCATACAAGGAAGCTACCACCATATACACAAGCAAACTAAAGAAAAAAAACTCGGTGAATCTTGGTGCATGATGGCTCCTTTTTGTTTTTTCCACCACTTTTGGTGGTGTTCTTACTATTGGTAAACTAATTTGTCCCTGGTAAATCTTGGTCAAGTGCTAGGTGACAAACAAACGGCATCTAGGTAGCTTGGCCGCAATGGAACGACGACAAGTCACAAACAAGACACATGATACTTTCACCCTGCACCTTCGCACATCCACGACAGAAAAAACTAACCAGAGATCATCATGCCACAAGAACATCATCACACAACTAACCGCTGTTATCCCCTTGGTTTGCAGATGTACAGGACAGTGAAGAGCACAGACAGATCGTTGCACACAGCTACAGGTATATACATCCACGCAGCAAAACTAGCTAGCGTAGATCATGGCCTTCGTAGTCCTACCTATTTCATGGCGGGCGCGGGGCGTGCAATGACCGATCGTTCCAACATTGTGTTCACAGGCGAGGCCTTGCCGCTGCACAGGACGGCGGCCACAGGGATGGAGACGGCGGTGGCGGCAGGAGGAGGTGGGGTGGTAGTGGTACCAGTGCCAGCAGCATGTGACGACATGGTTGGGATCTGCAGCTCTCCTTCGGCGGGCTCTGCGCCGCCTGCTACGGCGACTACTTCCGCTGCTCACTTCCTCTGTGCGCCAGCAGCAACTGCTCCACTGGCGGCAGCACCGTCACCTCCTCCACCCATTCCCCCGAGGTCTGTCTGACTGTCTGCATGTCACCTTCATCGCTGCCTTTAGTTCCAGCTAAAATTTCAAAAAGTGCTACAGTACTTGTCACATCAAATATTTGCGACCTGTGCATGGAGCATTAAATATAGATGAAAAAAAACTAATTGCACAGTTTTATAAAAAATTACGATACGAACGTTTTGAGCCTAATTAGTCCATATTTGAACACGAATTGCCAAATAAAAATGAACGTGCTATAGTATCCCCAAATTTCAACTTTCTGCAACTAAACACGGCGTTATTGTACTTATCTGTTTGTTGTTTTTACTGTTATCCCATGGTTATACAGTTGTGCTTCTGCTGCTGGCTGACCTAACATTGATTTGACCGTCTCTCAGTATGTTCCCAGAGTTCAAATTCAACTGTTTTAGAAAGGCAATGCATAAGCATTACGAACTCTCTAGTAAGTACTTATAAAAAGAGTGAAAGTGTCTAGAGACTTCGCTAACATTGGTCAAATTACATACTTTTATTGAATTTATCTATTACTAGTATACAGCTCGTGAGACACTATGTCTATGTGCATGAAATGTGATTGTGTTCGCCATTCTTTTCTTTGTTTTTTTAAATACTTGACATTATTTTGTCCACAAATAAATCACGTCACAGTTTTTTTATCATTTGTAAATAACAGAAGGCCTAATTAAGGGCAAGTACATTTGTGTTCTCATATACTCTATAGACGATTCATGTAGTCACATAACCACAAGACGTACTTTTTTTTAGAAAGGACGGCAAAAGCTTTGCCACGATTTCTATTAGACGAAGAAAGAAAAAAAATGCAAGTGCTCGCCCAGTTTTTTGAATAGAAACTGGGCCCAAAAACTATACAATTGAGAAGAGTGTTTCACTCATCCTAACACGACTTTGTTACATCCACCGGACAACTATCACAACTCACGCCACTACTTACTCCAACTTGGTCAAAACGACCCAACTAAAACAACTCAAACACAATGACCTGCGAGACGACACCAAACCACACAACTTGGGGCACCACCATGGACAACCAGTAGGAGCAACTGCAGAACTGGAATGCCTAGCCATGCCTCCAAGGAGGAAACGACACAAAAAACGCTGACAAGGTAACCCGCCATGGGAAGGTTTTCACCAGCAACATCCGGTACGGTAGGAGGAGAGGTAGGAAAGGACGCCTCAAAGAAGGGAACGACGTTCGCATACGTCATCGTCAAAGCTTTCGCCCCAATCTCAAGAAACTCCAAAATCGTCATCGCCGGAGGCAGAACACTACCAGGTAGGGTGCGGCGATGGATCTGCAGCAGCCTCGCCTGGCCACCACCCCTCGAGACGCCGGCCAGGAGAAGCGTCGAGAGAAGCCCGCCGAAGAGTCCGCGTCCTGCCAGAACCGGCAAAACCGGCCAGCAACACGCGAACCCAGTCTGCTTCGCCACGGAAACCAACCCAAGAAAGGGGAAGGCGGGGAGAAGAGGGCCGGGATCAGAAGAAGCCCCAATCGCCCAACCCACCAATGTCCTGACCCCTGTCGAGCCAGCCCCACATCAACCACGCCGCACAGGCCCCTAACAACCTCCGTCGACCCCTCGCCGCCCACTACGCCATGCCACCAAGCCGCCGTCAATATCGCCGAATTGCGAGAACTTGTAGTGGCCCGCTCGACCGACGCCCGCCTCACCGCCTTGGCATTGCAGACGCGAAAATGAGCCGGCCGCCGCTGACCACGCCACCACGACCCCGACGCCGACGTCGCACAACCAGCGCAGCCACCCACGTCACCACGACGTCTGACGGCGCCCGACCGTACCACCACAACACCAATCCGTTCCGACGTAGCCGATCCACCTTCCTACCGTTGCCGGCGCCGATGCCAACCGAACACCAGCGCCGCCAGCCTCTACCACCGTAGGAGAACCAGATCAGGCCCAGAGAAGGCCAGATCCGGCCTCCAGTGCGCCGGATTTGGTGCCCGGAGCCACCGCCGCTGTCGTCGCGCCTACTACAGTTGTCAGCAAGGAATGACGGCGAGCAGCAGCAGCCCCCATCCCGCACCACCGCGCAACGAGCTCCACCTCTGTGCCTCCACGTGATCCTCACGTGGCCACCTTGGTGCGCCACACGCAGCGCCGCCGCCGTGCAGCCTAGGTGCAGGACTGGCAGATCCGGGCGATGGAACCTGGATCCACCAACACCGGGACCGGATCCGGGTTGCTGCAGCCGCCTTGCGCTCCTCCACCTTCGCCCCAAGGAGGCCGCCACCAACCGGACACGGTGAGCAGCTCCACCGCAGGGCCAGCAGATCCGGGTGTGGGAATGCCGGATCCGCTAGGACCGAGGGCGGGACCGTGTTGCCGGCCACCGCCCTGCGCCCACCGTGCCTCAGGTGCCAGCAACTGCAAGAGGAGGAAGAAAACTCCCTGCCGCCGCCATCCTCGCCGTTCGTCGGACCTCCGGCAGCAGCAGGGCAGAGAAAGCGCGGGGAAGGGGGCTTGGCGGTGGGGGAACCTGGAGCCACCCGAGTCGCCCCGCTGAGGACGACGCGGGGGCGTTGGGTTTGTACCACAAGACGTACATAGGTTGTCTTTTATGTTGTCCCACATAATTCAATCATCGATCCTTCATTTGTCCTACACGTCTTTTGTATTGTAAATTATATGGCAACAACAACTCATATAATGGTGAAAAAATGTCTCATAGTCCCAAATTCTTACTCATGAGGTGGTTGCTTCATGAAACAATGACCTATATATTTATTTTCTTTCACCTTTTTTCTCCCCTCCTACACACCATAAAAAAATCTTGTACGGCATTGCATGAGATGACCTTAATTAAGACCACTGATATGTAGCAATATAATTGTCCTAACTGCTTGGTTAAAAACGGGTGGAATGTGTTCGTTTCTCTTTTATAGAAGAAAAAAATACAAAGGCCCTTGGATTAAGCCGAACATGCATGCAGACACTCTAGCTAGTTGATAATATATATAATAATATATATAATAATATATACAATATATACTACTATATAAGAATAAGATGGATTCCATTCAAAGCAATAATACTAGCTAGCACGTGGTATATCTATCATCGACGGACGTAAATAAGTCTAGATGTTGGAGCACATCGATCCAATATATTGGCCTATATATATCTGGTTTGCCATGCTTCCCGTGCCTAGCTAATAGGTTCACGTCTGATCCAAATCCAAAGTAGTAAAAACGGAGTGCTTAAGAATCAAATCTACTACAGTATTTGTGTGTTCTAAATAAAACAAGATGTATCATGCATCTAAGTGTATCCAATTTCTAGTGTACCCATAACCTTATCCATGAGTTATTATTATATATATTATTGGAGCCAAAGATACCATCCAACAATATTTAGAGGCAGGAAATGGGCCCGTTGTATAGTTAACTCTGGCTGCACACGTTGAGTTGGTTTAACCTAGGACGACACAAAGGGCCACATATCACATATGTAGAATCGGCAGGTTAGAGGCTGGAACTATGTTCCGTTATCTTAAAAAAAATGATTAGCAGGTGAATACGTTAAGTCTAAAAAACTCATTTGTCTATCCCAATATTATGGATTGGTATTAATTAATTAGTTGTCTTTAGAGGAACATATGTCTAGATTTAAGGATCCTATCGGCTGAGCTACAGATGCATATGTATTACCAACTGTTGGATGGCTGCACGCTGTGGCTGCAACAAGCAGCCAAACGGACCCTAAGTCATTTGCATTGTGGCAGTAGGGAAGTAAAAAGCAAAACCATTCTGCACGCTAGCTAAATCATCTACGGGAAGGGAGCTTTCATTCTGCACAAACACAAAGAAAAACATGCCAGAAATTATCAGTTAACCGACTAATATCACCTGTTCTTTTACTCATAAAGCAAAATCCATCATCTAACTTTTTTTTTGAGCTAGCTGACCAATATTCAATAGTATATGGTAGAGAAAAAAGATGCATGCCTGCATACCTTCCCTTTCTCCTGTGCAAGCATATGTATGTGCATGCCCTCTCTCCAGACCATATACGCCAGTTCTCTATCCATCTCCACCCCCTAATTTTCTGATAGAGCCCGGAGTAGGAGTAGTAGTTATCCCAGGCATGGACTGAGCGACAACTAGTGCTCTCGCTGTAGCCGATATGTCGCCCTGCCGACCTCTTCCGCGTGTCGTCACGCACCCTTCTGCTTGTCCGCGTCCGCATCCGTAGCTCCAGCCATCATCGCGCTCCGTGCCGCTGATAGATGTGCTCTCCATCCCTGTCGCCCTCTCTGCTTCTCTCTCCAGCAGTCCAGCTGGTCAGTACCGTTCACCTGATGCGATCATGGTCAATCCACCCATCTACCTCAGAGTTCAATGGCAGCTACTGTATATGATTCAGCTGGATGGTATGGAGAGCTCCTAATGATCAGCTTCATCATTACTTATAGAAGTTAATGAGCTAACCGAGTCCATATGATAAGTCAAACTACACCATATATACGTTTGTCGAAGCAAAGATGGTGCTATTATGTGCTATAGATCTATATATAGGATGCACAGGGGATCGATGGTTGGCAGATCCGCAGATGCATATAGACATGGAGGCCTACCGACATTGCTGCTGTCTTGGCTTTGTTGTTCTGGCCTTCTGGGACTCTTGGTTATATATGTTCAGTGCTCATGCATGCAAATATGGATTGGCCGGTCGAGAAACAGCGAGACAGTGCTCCAGGTTGTTGACCTGCTGGTGGTGTCCGGCTTCCTGTTCATCTCTGTGTACCGGAGGCCTGGTAGGGACAAATCAAGGCGGGCATGTTCCCATATGCTACAGGCTACGTACAGCCGCACAGAGACCCCAGAGCCTTCACACTGTACATTAACACTAGACAGCGCGGAGCAAGGCTACAAGGAAATATGGAAGATAGTTCGTGCATGTCTGCGACTGCAATGCATGCGCAAGTGTTAGAATCCAAAATTCCAAAGTATATATACTTGCATTGCTGCATGCAGTGATGGGTCAAATAAATACTACTCGAAATATTACGTATATTATCAGCAAAAAAAAAAGTGCGTATGCTACCGATAGTATTAACACTTAAACTGCAATCTCTCATCTGCAAAAAAACGCGCACGAGAGATATATATACGGAGTACTTAATATGTTCTGTGTGCAACATGCTGAGACTGTTAACCTGCATCTCTGACCACGGATTAAATGACTAACAGTACTTCCATGAAATTGATAAGAGCGCTGTTAATTTGTTGAGCACACAGGAGCAGGACTGACCACGCACCAGGCGCAGTGCCGGAAAAAGGTGTTGCAATTGTTGTTGACTCGTTGCACCGGTGTCAGGCACATAATTTCTCACCGCCGCCAGTGCTTCAAGATACTCAGGTACGTACACATACACATGCATGCAAGAGTTTATCCAAACATATTCGATGCAGACATAAATGAAAAGACTGCGGTAATTCCACCATGCAAACGCATGCCAAATGCATGTGACGACTCTTGGCACCTCTTGTTCTGAACAACTTCTTATTTGCACTACTGTACTCTTTAAGGTAGGCCACGAAAACAGTAGTAGATAGGAAAGCACTACAGATAAATATGCTATTCGATCATTCTCTGAAACAGCATAAACCATTGCTCTGAAGTTATATGCTTTTTTAACATGTAATCATATAATGTTATTATCGTGACAATGTACCAGGCAGCTCAAGAAGAGGCAAATGGTCAGATAGCCATGGGACTGCACGGGAATGTTGACCCCATCGCTACAAACTGCTCAAGCCCAGCGAGCTCTACTCCATCTCTTGCTAGCCTGGAGCAGCTGACAGACGACATGTACGCACCGAACCTGGAGATCTCCCTCGGGAGGCAGGATTGGAGCATGGAGCGTCCGGAAGGACTTTGCCTGAAATACCTGTGACAAAAAGAGAACGAGCTTCGCTTCTTCTTCTTTTTTTTGTTTCGTACGTTCATCTAACCATTGATCAATATTCATGAAGTAAGCTAAGGCTCTATGTTCGGCACGGCATGGAATGAAATCGATCTATGATGATGAGCAGGTTGCGAGTGCTTTAATAGTATCTTGGATGGAAGCACATATATGAATCATAGGTTAGTTTGGACTGAATCAATATCAGTGAATTCTGACAAGTACACATACAAAACCGATGGGTTTGGAACTTGTTACGATAAAACCTGGGGCTGGGATAGATTTGTTCACACACTCCTCCCTCGAGACGATCGTGAAGAGACGAAAGCGACGGGTAGCAGACCGGAGTCGGTGGACGGATCGGACTATCGGAGGAACCCACCGTGCTCTATCACGGAAGGCGGAACTAGCAACTGCCGCTGAAACCTAGGACGACCGGAGACGATGGCCGTCGAAGCAGCGACCGCACCGCCGCCGCCGTCTTTGTTTCACGCCACGCACGCTGGGGTTTCCGCGAGTCTCGCGCATGCGTTCTGGGCTCAAGGCAAGAGGCTGGATGGAGCGGATCCGGTCTGGCCCAGTCAGAGCGCCAGTTTGCGGCCCAACAGGCATGGCACGCAGCAAATTTCGACGTCACATCCCAGCCCAAGACAACGACGTCGGTCTTCCACAAGGTTCCAATTCCTCCTCCACTGATGAAAAGTCGTCAATTCCAGGAGCAGAAGAAGTGACAGCAACCGCAGAACAGTCCATGACAAAAATGCCGCAACTGCCGTCGCCAAGCCCACGGTAATCGCGCGGCTCCACCCACCGGCTCGGCAGTCGGGGCACGGCACCGGGCTTGAAACTGCCTGCCACGGCCAACTATCGAGCCCAAGCGCGTGTCACGGATAGTAACTGACTGATTATCCTTCTACTCCTCCCCTGGATATCGCGGTGGCCTGTTGTTTTGGAGTGGAAAGCGGCAGCGGGTCAGTCATCAGTGACGCTGACTCCAACTCACACCGGCGGCAGCTCCGATTCTGTGTGCTGAGCATGGAAGCATGCCCGGGTTTGCACCGATTCCATGGAGCGAGTACTCCGCCCAAAAGACCACACTATAAATGGCCCCAGCACTCGTGCTACTTTCCCACTCCAAAACATCTCCGGCCAGTTCTTACTATCACCTGTAACTTTCGTTCTCTTGTTCTCTTCCACGATGTCAGGCCTGATCGATATTTGGACGCTGGAGCGGGAGCGGATGGTCCGTACCGGGCGCGCGCAGGCGTTCTGGCCGGTGGTCTCGCTCGGCGGAGGCGCACGGCACGGACGACGCGACACGGCTCGATCGGAGTCTGGTGGGGGGAGTAGTAGCGGCGCTAAGCCCTACGACGGAGTCGGTGCCGTGCTCGTGGACGCTGCGGAGAAGCAGGCCGCTGCGTCTGCTGGTGCTAGCCCGCCGGGGTTCGTCCGAGAAGACGCTTTCTTGTCCATCCTAATTGATTGCTTCGGCCAGTAGATCTTCTGAACATAGGTAGTACAGTATATGTTAGTTGCATGGCCGACTGCTTTTGTGTGGTTCTTGTAGTCTTCTGAAACATCAAATGAATGAATGATGTTTGTGTTTTCTGGAAGTCACTAGCTGGTAGCAAGGTCTGATGTCTGAGACAAGTTCGTTGTACATGTGCTAGAAAACAACAAAGATCGATATATAGGATGCAAGTGGAAGCAAGAAGCTGTAAAGTGTCAACTCATCGTCACCACCACTCGGCTAAACGGGATATTTGAACTCAGATACTTGTCAAATATCTTTACGAACCACAGTCATGTTACTTGCTAGCTTTCAAACAAGATCTAGAGGTACTAACACCTGCCGTGTACTCAGAGATGACATACTAGATGCAAGAAGAGATATTTGTCAGAGGGTTAGCTCAGCCCTTTGTTTCTTGTTTGAAACATGGGGATTTTTATTTTCTAATAATAATTCCGATCCAGATCCATGATAATTCTATATCATCATTCCTGTGAAATTTCTGTATGTTGGATGGGCTCTTAAACATGAGAACTTGGTGCTGTTTCAGGCCTCCTCCAGCATACACCACGTACGGATCGATTTGTCGCGGGAAATGTGATGCAAATCGTTGTCACGCTCTCGCACCTCAAAAACAGTACATCGTCGTACGTAGGCCATTGATTCCCCGAATCAAATACTCCAAGCCGGCACACGCAAACACGGAGCGGACGGCGATGGCCTTTCCCCAACGCTTGCCTTGCGGGTTGCACCTCGCTGGCAAGTCCCTCCCGCCCGCGCGGCTGCGCGGCATCGGCCGCCGATCCGAATCCTTGCGCGGAATCTGGAAATATATCCTTCCGTCCGGCCGCAGGGCCGCGCCGTGGTTAGTTGGCAGTTGGCGCCGGCATATCCATCACCGCGACACCGCCGCGCTCGGATCCCTGAGCGACCACCAGCACACGATGGCCGTCACATGGGCGACGGCGAAGGCGTGGCCCCGAAACAGGACAGCAACGACGACGATAAGAGGCGTCTGGCTTGGCTGCCGCCGCATAGTGCCGAAACCGTTTAAACTTTCGTGGAGTATTCCCTCTGCCCGTCCAGCAGAGCACGCCGCGCCTACAGAGTACCGACCCCGGCCGGCCTACGGCCGTGTATAAGTAGAGAGCAGGCAAGTGGCAAAGAGCTAGCTAGTAGCTCAAGAACCTGCTTTCTTTCGAGTGCGTAGAGCGAGGGGACCTGTGACGGCCTCGAGTAGTGCAGTGCAGGGATGGCTGGCGCGGTTGTTGTATGGCTGGGGGCGTTCGCCAAGAGTGGCCAACCGGAGGCGGCGCAGGCTACTGCCGAGGCGGAAGCCGCACAGCGCCATCACGGAGATGATGGCGTTGGCGCGGTTGCGAGCGTGAAGAAGGGTGAAGTCCAGGAGAAGAGGACGCGGAACAGCGGCGTGCTCTCCGACTCGGGGACCGTCGTATGCATGCTCACGGACCGCTTCGCTCCGGCGTGACGTGCGGGGCGGCGGAGAGCGCGCGCGTAGCGTCGTACATACAGCTGGGTAGGTGCACGGTACATTCGAGGAATGGAAGTGTTGTTGTATCTTGAACTGTAACGCTGTGGTTAGCCGTGTCGACGGTATCATACTACGGTTTATTCCTTTGATTTCGATGTGAATAATTCCTGCTTAATTGACGTCGTCTCGATCTGTTCTGACTTCGGCGCCGTGCATAGAGATTATCCTCTTCTCTTTGCGTTCGGGATTTTGGGACTTCGTTTCTTCTGTGCCATGCCGCTCCTGCCAGGCTGCCACTGCCGGCGTTCCATGGCGGAGACTCATGGCAGAGGTAGAAATCACAAGATACTTTACGACCGATGCCGGTTGGCAGCGCCCGATGTGTCCGACCTAGAGCTACGGAGTATGATCGAAGCATGCACATCTCACTTTTGGAATTGTGGTGTTTCGGCTCGGACATCGAACGCGTAGCCATGGTTATCTATTTTGTTGGTGCTCTATTTAAAGTTATTTGGATTTTATTTGATTTAAATAAATATGAGTATGACTGCAAGCAATAAAGCAATAGGAACATAAATGTGCTAGTTCCAAGTAATTATATATAGATCATAAACAGACAAATAACATTTTTAGTAGTGTTAGCCTAGACGGATTAAATGGTAACATACCGTTTAGCTATTCATTCAAGATAAACAGTCATTTAAACGAATTAAACGGTGTTTAGACGGGATAACCAATTGATTAAATGGACAAGACAAGCCACTTGAAAGGTCCTAATAGCTAGAGTGGGTGAATAGCCTATAAAAATTTCTACAATAACACTAAACAAGATAGTTAGACAATTATGAAGCGAAACAAGTATTACGCTAGTCTACTCAAAATGCAAGCCTCCTATCCACAATTCTAGTCACTATAATATCTAATCCACACAAGAGGCTATGTCACTACCACTAAGTAAATAAGCTCTCAAAGACTAACTAAAGAGCCTCACTAATCACTAGACCCGACACAAGCTAACTCTCAAAACTAATTACACTAAAGAGCTTAGCAACACAAGAAAGTAAATAAAAGGGTAAGGTAGTGAGGTTATACCGACATGGCAAGCGATGATCAATCAATCAATCACAAGAGAACCAATGAAATTCTCAGGATAAGATGATACAATGATTTATCCCCGATGTTCACTTTATAGGGTCGAGATAGTGGACTAGAGAGGGGTTGAATAATCCTTTCTAAATTTAATCGCGCCGGCTAAACGAAACAAATACGGAATTAAAACAATCGGTCTACCAAATACTATATCTCTCTATCTAAGTTCACAAGCACATTAAAATATCCTAATCAAGTAACTAAGCTGTCAGACTAGTTAGAGCTCACCTAATCAATTCTAAAGCGAGGTCACACAAACCTATGCACTAGTACTTCACACAACCGGGGGAGCTCCTACACAACTAGTGATGCAAAAGCACAAAGCCACCAAAGCTCACTAGCAATGCCCAATAACAAGGCTACACAGACTAAATTAGAGAGCACAAATTACTTAGCTACATAAACTAAGCAATGTGACTAACAAGGTTACTAAAATCAAATTAGTCACGCAAGGTACCTACTTCTATGCAACACAAGCAAGAAGGTAATTAGCAAGCTACACAAGCAAATTAATTACAAGAGCAATTACACAAGCATAATGTATGAAATGTAAATACAAGTTTGTATTTCGCGGAATGCAAACCAACGGGAAGACAAGGATGATACGGTGATTTTATTCCGATGTTCACGTGCTTGCCAACACGCTAGTCCCCGTTGAGACAAGCTCTAAGGTTGCCGTCTGTCCTCTTGCTAGTGGTGACCCGCAAGTCGCACTCTCCCAGGTGGAGTGCTTACCACAAGCTCTAGCACTTGACCCAGTCGTACCACTTGTCGCCCTTTGCGTCTCGCTCTACTAGAGTTGCTCTTCGTGTCTCCCGCAGGGTGAGCATAATCCCGCTCACAATCACTTCTTCGGAGCACCGTACAATCTTCTTTACGTGCTTCGACGGAGACCACCACCAAGTCGTCTAGGAGGTGGCAGCCTACAAGAGTAACAAGCACCACCGGCTTACAACTCGATCACCTAGTGCCACTCGATGCAACCTCACGATTCAACGCACTAGAATCATACTCACTTGCAATCGGATCGTACTCTTGCAAGCACAAGTGAGTTGGAGGGCTCCCAAGCACACCTAAACAAGCCACCAAGGCTTAAGGGTGCTCAGCTACCGGCCTAAGGCCGACCAACACTTCTATTTATAACCCTAAGGGCTAAAATAGCCGTTACCCCTTCACCTGACGTTTTTTGACACGACCGGACGCACCCGGCAAAGTCCGGTCATCCGGATGCGGCCACGTGTTGCCTCCATCAAACGCTGAGCATCGATCTCCAACGGCTAGCAAGCGCGCCAACGGTCAAAAGAACGATCGGACGCACCACTACCCCGAGATCGGATGCGCAGGTGCCTGACTCCGATCCTCTTCGCGCCACAGCTCTGCACTATCGGACGCAACCACCACGATACGACCTGACGCATGAGCCACCGAGTCCGGTCATGAACAGAGAGTTCCCGAGGGGCCAAAACATGATCGGACGCATCAGGTCTAGGGTGACCTGACATGCCCCAGCGTCCGGTCCTCACAGCACTGCTGCCCGAGTGCCACGCGCCACGACGTCAGTGAGACTGGACGTAGCCACCGCGTGTTAGGTCACAAAGTGACCCAGCGTCCGGTCATGCCGTAGAGACAGACCGAGAGCACCACCAACTAACCGGATGCGCTGGTCCCCCCGAGGCCAGCGTCCAGTCACCTCCAATGACCTATTTCGCCTTTATTTCTTCACCGAGTTGATCTATTTTAACTCCAACTTCTTTCTCCTTTGCAAATGTGCCAACACCACCAAGTGTACACCACCATGTGTATGTGTGTTAGCATTTTCACAATCATTTTTAAGGAGTTAGCCACTCAACTTTCTACGCCACTTGATCCTAGCAATGATGTAAAGTTAGATCACTCGAGTGGCACTAGATGACCGATATGCAAATAAGTTTGCCCCTCTGATAGTACGGCCATCTATCCTAAACCCAGTCATCAACTTCTGTACACACCTATGACCGATGAAATGAAATGCCATAGGTTATACCTTTGCCTTGCGCATTCTGTTTCATCTCCTCCATCGTTGATGCAACACATGCACCAACCAATCACGAAATGAAATGATTCACTTCATATCATCATGTGACCATATTGGTTCAGTGATCTTGACCTCACTTGCTTTTCATCGTTGCCTTCGTCTATTGGCACCAAGTCTTGCCCAAGCTTCACCTCCACGCAGTCCATCGCTCCAAAGCCTCTGACTTGCCCTTCACCCTTGCAATCGGTCCATCAAGCCAAGTTTTGTCTTGATCTTCTCTACCTTAGTCACATGACTCAATATCATGTATCATATGCAATGAACTCCTTCATCATATGTGTGAGCCTTGTAACAAATCCAAGCCATTTCACCTCCGTGGCATGTATTGCTCACACACATGTACCTATAAACTAATCACCTGTGTATCTCATATTTAAACACATTAGTCCACCTATGTTGTCACTCAATTACTAAAACCAAACAAGGACCTTTTAATCTCCCCCCTTTTTGGTAATTGATGACAACTCTTTAAAGATATGAAAATTAAGCTTATTTCAAGCTAGCACTTTGCACAAGTATAAATTGCTAACTTGATTTGGATGTTATGCTACTTATCCAACATTTAAGCTCTATGTCAAAATTTGGATAGACTTGGTAGTGATAACTCCCCCTACATGTGTGCTCAAATGGTTTGGTTTCAAGTTTACAGACATGCATACATATGAAATTTGTGGGAGTGTTACCACTACTAAGTAATGCTAAGGTGTATAGAATAACCTTTGAAGCATGATACCAATCGGAGTTGCACTTTTAACACCACCCTTAGCATCATGAGTAGCTAGACAACAAAAATACTAGAAACCCCATAAGATCAACATTATAACTAAGGTTCTAGTACCACATGTAAAAACATAAGTCTAGCTACCATCCTATGCATGCTAGTTATCATTTCATCATTTAAGTTCTATAACTAGCATACAACACACAAGCAAGCATATAAAATTTAAAAACTTATGCATTGCAAGCAAGCACATGAATATGCACATCTCAAGAATGCAATTAATCAAAGTTCATGAGCTTGCTCCCCCTACTTGTGTGCTTCTCTTGTCCAAGAATTTTGATCCTTCTTAATTCCTCAATGTTGTTCCCTCTTTGTCCATTGTCCATGTCCAAAACCCCAATTGTAATATCTTTGTCTCAATATCTTCCAAAGCTTTCATATCTTTGTACAATCTCTCTCCTTTGTCATCAATTTCCATAAAAAGGTATGTTTCTTATTGATGCAAAGGCTTGTATTTGGGGTAGATGGTTGACACTTGAATCTTCATTTTTTATGGACACCACCTGTATAGCTCTTTAGACACCATGTGTAGGATCTTATGACCTTGATACCAATTGTAGTGGGGCTCCTCCCCTATGTTCAAGCATGGGGCATTCTCTTGATAATCTTGAGCTCTTCTAGATGAGGAAAGCATTCTTCATTTGATGATCACTTAAAATTGAGGATCACTTGTGGAACCACCATCTTGTAGTTTAGAGTTAGAGTTTTAAGTTGACTAATTCACCCCCTCTCTTAGGCGTCATGGTCCCCTTTCCGTTGGTATCGGAACCGGTTGGCTCAATTTGGATCTTTGGCTTTACTGCTGTTGAGCCAACGCTATTTAGAGTGGTTGGGATGGATACCTCTAGGCCTCCGTACTTTGACGGTACTAACTTCTCCTACTATAAAGCTAGAATGGCTTATCATCTTGAGGTGGTAGATTTGGGTGTTTGGAGAGTCACTCATGACGGGATGAAACCCATTAAGAATCCCGATAAACCCACAAAGAGTGAA